TTGAAGAAATCCCAACCATCTACAAGTACTCAAAGAGCTTAGACACTTGTGAGGAAAACAAAAACAAAGGCTTTTGCAATAAGAGGAGAGCAAAAAATTTAATTGCAAATCCCAGTGTGGTGGTGCAAACCTCTAATTCCAGCACTTTGGAGACAGAGGCAGGAGGATTCTGAGTTCGAGGCCAGCCTAGGCTACAGAGTGAGGCCCTATCTCATCTCCTCTCCCCCCAAAAAGAGCTCTAAATGCAAAAAAGTATAGAATCTATTTATTAGGGGAAAAGACTCCACGTTAAAAAAAACAAAACTGTTTCCTCTGTCTTAAGACAAACACACAAAATTCCATTTCAACAAACTTCCAACTTTTTCTAAACCTAGGTAACAACTATTTATTTCTTTAGTTCTATTTCATACACAAGTGCTAATTCATATTGCTTCAAAGGCCTTGACCTAGATTCTTAAAGTTGGTCTACAGGCAACGTGCCTTGCACTTTCTAAGAGATGAGAGCTCCTAAGAGATGGTTCTGGTAGTTGATTTCTGGTTTTCCTGAATTTAGGAAAACTTTTTGCATTTGTCATTTGATAGGGGACATGAAAAAGCTAACCAAAACCAAAAGTCACCTTAAAAGTCTCCCAATCCTCCTCTATCCAGAAGCAATTCTTAATATGTTTCCTTTAGCATAGAATTAAATTCATGCTTTAAAACTCAGTGATCAAAAATATTTGAATAGCAGGAAAACAATGGAGAATTTTTGGCAATTAATTAAAAAAAAAAAAGCACACAGTGAGTATCAGTAAGCTTGAGTGTAATACCACAGGGCCAGTGTCTCTTCCATAGATAAGAAACAAGAACACTTAGAGCAATTAGGAGCTCTTGGCTGAGGTTCTAACTCTGCTCTGGTCAACAAGACAGGTCTTCAAAAGTGCCTTTAGTAAGGGCTCATAAATCTGTAGCAGTATTTATAAACATCAGAGTGTACTTTAGATACAAAACAATTGGTTAAGTTACAAGGTTCCCCAACAGCAACCGACTGAGGAGTGGTGGCTCTTGAAGTGTCCCTCCTGCCTCCACCTCCCCACCAGTTGCATAAGCCACACCTTAGACCTAGTTGAGCTTGCAAGGTCTACAGTGTGCGCTGGCCGTCCAGGTGATTCTGATTGAAGGATACTACTGTAGAAGATATTACAGAGGTTTTAGTGTGAAACCAAGGACACAGGATGCCTAATTTACTGTATTCAAGCCATTCTCCCTTTGGTTGACCCATTGCCTGTCCCTTTTAGTAGGCAGTGCAGAACCAAGGACCTTGTTCAAAACACACTTTGAAAAGGTCTTTGGAGATAGGTTCAATGGAAAAGTCATGTATTTTTCGTATGTTACCTCAGTTACAGTAATATGAAGCATCATTTACTCCCATAAGAAAAGTCCCCTTTGCAGGGGACATTGAGTGTTTACAGAAAGATCACTTTATCCCAAGGAAACCAAATTTTGGAAAAGCAAATAAGGGAAACTCAGCTTTGAAGGCGTCCATATACACCTCTACAGTCCACATTTTAGGTGAACACTCCCTAATTATGACTGCCCAGTGTGGAAAACATGTGTCCTAGGCAGACTTCCACTGTCTACCCTGAACGATGACATTTTCATGGGATGCAGAAAAGAAATATCTTACTTCAGTCCCCCTACTGATCCCTCTGTCCTGAATTCCATCTCTACCCATCCTATGACATCCTTCTTTGAGGTCTACATCTAGTTCTCATTTATTAGAGCTGCTGTAAAATAATGTTTTTGTATTATAAAGCTCATTTCTGTATCATAAAATCAATTTCATTTTGTGCATAGCCTTTTTGTTTGTTTGTTTGGCTTTTTTTTTTTTTTTTTTGCAATACTGGGGATGGAACCCAGGGTCTTGCACATGCTAGGTAAGTGCTCTATCACTGAGCTACACCCAACCTAATTATTTTTATAGTTTATAAACAGCTTCCATGTTTACTGTTTCATTTGATTCTCATTACAACCTGTGAGATGAGTGCAGTTTTATTATTCCCACTTTACAGATAAGAAAAGTAGAACCTCAAGAAACTGATCATTGAATATTAAAGGTGAGATCCAAGTGCTTTGCATCCAAAATTAAAAGAATTCATGATGTCAAAAAAGAACTAAACTTAATTGATTGTCATCTGCCAGTCATATTGACCAGAAATCACAGAACTAGGTTTTTAGGTTGGGTGATATTTTTCTGGTTTAGGAAAGGGAAGGAGCAGGGAGATAAGCTCAGTTAAAACAGACAAACTCAGTCATGTAACCTGTAATGATGTCTGGAATTCTATGGGATTCCAAGTAACAACAACAATCATGATGATAGTGTAAATATTAATTAAGCTCTCATTACATGCCAGGCACCATTTCACATTTATTAAGTCTAGTCACTAGCCCTCTTAATATCCCCATTTTACAGATGAGAAAAGCAAAAGCACAGAAGACCTAAGTAACTCGCACAAGAGTACACATCTTGTTCTCTGGACACACAGGAGGACACGCAACTGAAGTGCCAAGCCCCTGTGAGGTCTGCCTGCTAATAGGATGTCTACCTGACATGGGACAGCAGCCACCACAGGAATCTGGATTACATTTCCAATATTGCCATTTGGGCAGTAGTCTCCACACTCCTGTCACACAAAGCATTAATCAGTATTTAGGCTCCAAGTAATCAAGCATCAATCAGCTCAGACTCCTAACAGCCAGTTCCTTCTCAGCCTATCTTCAAGGATTTCTAAATCTTGCTTAGTGATGGAAATCTGGCTGATTTGCCTGGAACTGCCTTCAACTAATTTAAGAAAAATTAGAGAGGAAAGCAGCTTTGGAGGAAACATGGTAAGTTAAAGATGCCTGTGGGAGGCAGCAGTTGTAGTAAATGGAGAGTTAACGGCTCTGATTTTGCTTCTAAAGAACATAAATAAAAAGGAGTCCTTATTGGTATAAATCATTCCTGCCTCTTTTTTCCCTCTACCTTTTGCAACTGCTCACATTTTAGAACTGCATGAACCAGCTTTTATGAATTTATCAATCTTTATGTTTATATACCTTTTTCTTAAGGAAGGAAACAGATCAGGTTGAAGAAAACACTAAGGCAAAAGAGAAAAATTACATGGTGAATGAATGCAGTCTTCAAGTCTGAGTGTGTGATGATTGAGGCTGGAGGTGGGGGCAGGCAACTTTCAAAGACTTGCTCAAATTTGCTTACCGTCGTCATTTTCTGACTCTAATTTTCACTGAATAACCACCTTGAGATCCTAGGAGTTCAATAGAAACCCAATTTAACAGAAAGTTCCAGAATATTCTACATAATCTCTCCCTAAAGCAAGGTCCCAAGCCTGAGCAATGAACTGTTACTGACCCCCAAGTCATATCCCCATTTCTTCCACACGCTTTTATAACCCTGATCCAACTACTTACTGAGGGGTCCTGTGTGCTTTCTTTTCCTCCTCTATAAAATGGAAGCGGCTATTACACTTAATATTTCACACTATTCATTTAGTGTGAAAACTAAATGAGTTAATAAATTAGAACCATGTCTGCAACAGAGCAAGCTCTCCCATGGCATTAGTTATTATTATTACCACTATTATCTGTAAAAACATCATCACAGGGAATCTATTCAGGAGGTTTCCCGCTGTATCTGTAACGTTTCATTGCTTAAAAAAAATTTTTTTTTGAAATGAAAATCATCATCAACACATACACACAGTAGTTCTTGGAAAACGTGTGTGGGTTGGTGGGGAGCCATCCATAATCAAGCCACTTATTGGTAAGTTTTAGCTGAGGTTGCAGCTCACAGCATCTAGGTCCATGGCCCTACATTTTCAACAGAGGATGTTCCCCTCCTGCTGCGGTTCTGGATGGAGAGAAGCATTGCAAGCTGTGGGTCCCTGTACCCCCTGCAATCGTACACGACTTGAAAGAGGCTGCATCTCTGGGCATATTTCTGGGAGGGGTTCCCAAGCTCTAATGACCCTGTAGCGACTTGCTTTTCAGGCAGGGTTAAACTCAGGGTAGCGACGACGGAACAATGCACTTCACCAAAGGCTGCTGCCGTAACCGCGACACCTGGGCTGTTCATCAGCTATCTCTACACCAGAGACAGCCGGCACCACTGGGGACCGGAGCCAGCTAGGCGGCGCGTGGCCCTGCGCCCCCGACCACTTACAGACAGACCTGTGAACTTCACCGCTGGAATGCGCACCCGCTACCCTGACCCGCCCGGGTATGTGGGGTTTAAGCTCCCTTCCCCCACCGCTCGTTCATTTCCAAGAACTCAAAGGAAACTGGCAAAGCTCTGTCTAGGATTTCACTCCTGCCCTACGCTGACACTGAAACCACGTCTCCCAGAGAAGTTAATTAAAGAACAATTAATCCGCACAAAAACCCAAAACCTACCCCAAAGCCCAAGAGCTCTTGAAGTTAGAAGATTGAGGGCGCCTCTGTGGATCGTGAACTCCTGTCCGCCTGGGGTTCAATGGTAGGCAGGGAGACAGAAGGGAAACAGGCGAGGGCCAGCCGGAGGGTCGGATCCCGGCCACGGCTCGGGGTCGGCTCTGAGTCTACACGCCACCGACGCCAGTGTAGACCGGCTTGCAGGCAGCCAGGTGAGCAGGAAGGTGTGGGCATGGGTCTGAGCTGACATACAGCCGCGGCGATTAAAGTTCAAGCCCGTTGGCACACCGCTCCGCTTTCCCCGGCGTTCTCACGCACGGCCCAGGAGGCCACTTTCCGGGGAAAGCCTGGGCACTCGACTGTCCCCGTCTTTGTAATTTTTAGTGACTCCCCTTGCTTCCCACGCTCCGACCCATTACAAGTATTAGCCACCCTTCACTCTCCTGGAGGACACAGAACCCCCACCCCCTCTCTCCCCCTAGAAAAGAGACGTGAAGGGGTGAGGGGAAAGCGGGGTGTCGCGGCGGGCAGGGCGCGCGCAGGGCAGGGCGCGCGGAGGACGGCGTACGTACCCAGCGCGAACAGGGCGAGCTGTCCAGCCGAGGTGACCATTTTACGCGCGGGCGGGCGGGCAGCAGGCGCTCCAGCCTCCTGCCCTCCCTGCGGTGCCCGACTAGCTGAGCGGCGCCGCGGTGCGGGGGAAAAAAGGCGCTGGCGAGGCAGGGCCGGCCCCCGGCGCGGGCGGGCGGGCGGAGGGAGGACCGGGCGCCTCTGCTGGCGCTCCCCGCAGCGCTGCGGGCCGGGCGGAAATGGGAAGGTGGTTACTGTCACCTCTCCGCCACTCGGCGACCGGGGCACTGCTGACCACCCTGCCCCAAAGGGGGTGTCCCCTAACGGGCTCTGGAGGTGGGAATTGCGGAACTGGGGGCGGGGACGCTGCGAGCTCCGAGTGGGGCCGGGCAACCCGGACCCGAAGCCGGACAGCCCGGGAGCCTGTCACCTAGGCCAAGGCAAAGGCAGGAAGCGCCTGACGTGCAGACAACAACAGCGCCTTGCGCCCTGG